GACTACAACGCCAGTACTCGCAATGCCAGGGTTTAATGTCTTGTTCGAAGTACACACAGATGCTAGTGATATTGGAATTGGAGCCGTACTAGTGCAAGAAGGGAAACCCTTAGCCTATCTCAGCAAGGCACTAGGCACGACTCGGTTGGGTCTATCTGTGTACGTCAAAGAGATGCTAGCTGTTGTTGAAGCTGTGAGATGCTGGGGGTCCTATCTGTTGGGGCGATGTTTTCGGATTGTAACCGACTAGCAGCCGCTCAAGCATCTACTAGAGCAAAGGATCATTACCTTGGAAAAGCAGAAATTTGTCTCGAAGCTTATTGGTTTAGACTTTGAGATAATCTATCGGCCAGGTCGACAGAATGCTGTAGCTGACGCCTTATCTCGTCGGACAGATGTAGCTGAGCTTGATGCTATCACTGGACCAACATGGACCATTTGGGAGGAAGTTCGTAAGGCGCAAGAAGAGGACACTTATTGCATAGAAGTGAGCCACAAAATTGAGGCAGAAGAAACCATTGCTGATTATGAGCTGCACAACAACCTACTACTACACCGAGGCGGAGTGTTCGTTCCTGATAGTGGACAGCTACGCGAGAAGATCATGCAACACTTCCATGACTCAAAGATTGGAGGTCACTCGGGTATATATCGCACGTGGATGAGTATAGCCAACACCTTCTTTTGGCCCGAACAGCAAGGCACGGTTTGTTAGAGGTATGCTGTAAAAGCTATGTTTTGCAGATTCTATCAATTCCATTTTGATCTGGCAATCATGTTACGGTCAAAGTACATATGTTTGCAGCTTATTTATTTATGCAATACATACTCCATGTCTTATATTGAGGTAGTGTGGTTCGAAGAGTTTCGAACAGAAAGATCACCTATCGGTTCCTTATAAGACTAAACTATTCGTTCACAGTCTAGACTGGCAGTGAGACCCCACTTGGAAAAAGACTGTAGTGTATTCTCGATACAGTTGGTCTTTGACTGAAGGATCACACTAGCACTTATGTTAAGTGTTGAACAGGACCACGGAAGGATAAGGATATGAGACTCACTGACCGTTGTCGTAACCTAGACCTTCAGTGATTGATGCGTTCTCTTAAGCTGTAAAATAATATAAAATAGGCATATACTTTTTTTTCTTATTTATTTGATTTACCAAGTGATTCCTATTCTGTTAGGGTGACATACGAGGTATTTTGGTAATTAAGAATAATTATATGATGTGTTATTATAGATTATGTACAGTCACTATGTTCCAGTGTGCTGGATTGATGACGTCCCCGAAATGAGCTCAGAAAGGAACCTTATATTAAACCCTGCAGGTAGACGATTGTCTGACATAATGGTTAAAGGCTGAGTGGTACTAATTTCAGAAATGAATAAGAAGTTGATTAATTACATTGTCAGTAATTTAATTAATCAACGGACGTTATATCTTAAACATAGGGAGGTAAATTGATTAATCAGATTAATATTATTTAATCATGGAGGCTCGATTTTATTGGTAAAATAGTGGCTAAATGGGGAGAGCAACAATATTACTCTAGTGGGATGTTTTATTATTTAATTCTGTTAAATAAGAATTAATTTTATTCCATATTAATTATTTAATTAGGAGAATAAAATTCCTACTAGAATCTTCTCTTGAGATTAGGAGACTTGGGAGTCTTCTAGAAGATGAAGATAAGTAGGAAATATATTTCCTACATTATATTATTAATTGGAGTAAAATTAGGTTTCCTAAATTAGGATTTAATT